AAAAAAAATTAATCCACAAGTCCAGCACCTCCAAGGGTCTGGGTAAATTAGTGGGGGAAGAGGATCCCAGCAGGGTCTCTGTGCCCAGCAGGGCTGGTGGGAAATGCCCCAGCGCCGGGCACAGGGACGGGATTATTGAACAGATGGTGCCTTTAATCCCTGCAAGGAGCTCCTGTGACCCGCCCGCACCGCTCCAGCCCAGTGCTCCAGGAATTCCTGATCCCAGGGTGAGCACAACTCCTGGAATGTTGCTCCACTGCCCCCTCAGCACAGCCCCAAAAAAACCCGAGGAGCCAGGCTGGAATATCCCAGCGATGGACACACAAATTCCCTGTCCAAAATCCTCCTGGACGCACCAAAATAACACCAATTCWCCCCAAATTCACGGAGCAGAGCGCAGTCCCGGCGCTYCCACCSCTGGCAGTGCCCAAGGCAGGGTTGGACGGGGTTTGGAGCAATCCCAGTGGAAGGTGWMCAATGGGATCAGTTTTAGGGCGCCTCTCACCCTAAATCTGGGGATTCCATGATCCTACAGCCAGGACAGCCCCACAGAGGCTGATTTTCCTTAAAMAAGGAAGGAGAGCCGGGATATTCCTGCAAACCCCTTCCCGGGCTGTGGGTAAATAAGGGATTTCCACCGAATTCCCCCATTTCAGCGCTGGGTTTGAGCTCCCTTCCCGTCACTCTCAGGAATTCCTCGGCCTCGGCTCATCCCAGCACAGCCCGGGGATCCGTGGGATGTCTCCTCCTTACGAAACACCTCCTGTCACGGGGCAAGGCCCGAAATTCCCCTTCCTGCGCACAAAATTCACCCCRCACCGAGGACACCCCGAGCCGCTCCCGGAACGGCTCCTCCCAAAATCGGGAGATCAGGATCCCTGCTGGAGCATTCCCATCTCCCCGGGGAGGGCAGCTGCCAGCAAAACCTCCTTCCGAAGTAAAAAAATCGATATTTCCAAATTTTGGGATTGGCAATTCGATTTTCAAAGCGCTTCCAGCCCCATGGAGACGATTCCCATGAAAAACGCAGGAAATCTCCGGCAGCTCCCGAACGCCACGCGGGAGGAACTGCCGGCAACCCGCAACAGATGAAGCCAAAGGCTTGAAGATTAAAAAAAAAAAAAAATCCAAATAAAAACGGCAGAAAATGAGTCACGGAGTGCATTAGTCATCGGCACAGAGCCATCCGCAGCTCCATGTGACAGCGGAGGAGCCCGGCCGGCCCCGGAGCAGCCGCGGGATTTGCTAAATAAAACCCCAATCCCCGGCTCGGCCGCGGGCCTGGCAAATCCCGGCTTTAGAGCGGCCCGGGGGTGTTCATGGACATCGCCCCGCGGCCCCCGGGTCTCGGACATCGCCCCGCGGCCCCGGCACCGGGAACGATCGACCGGGACAGGAACGGGCTCAGGACGGAGCTGCGGCCCCTCGGACACTGCAGAGAGACTTCGGCCATCGCCTCTGTCCCTATAAAATCGGGATTAGAGGAGACACGGCAGGGACACTGCCACCATCCCAGGGTGCCCCAAGCCCCAATGTCCAGCCTGGCCCTGCCCACCCTACAGGGAACAATCCCTGCCCAATATCCCACAAAAATCTCCCCTTTTGCACTCTGATCCCATTCCCCGTGTCCTGTCCCTCCGTCCCCTGTCCCTCTCCAGCTCTCCCGGGTCCCTGCACTGCCCGGGGCCCCCGAGGACGCAGCTGCTCCCGGCCCCACAATGGAGCCCGATCCCTTCTGCTCCATTAATTCCCAGTTTTCCCAGGCACAGGAGCCRCGGAGCCGCTCCCAGGGGGGCACGGGGGATGCGGGAATGGGCCCTGACCCCAACACGGCGGGGAGAGGAGGAGAGCAGGACGGGGCTCTGACAGGAGAGTGGCACCRGGAAAAATTCACTGATCACAGGGGGACAATGCAGCAGCCTGGCCTGGGGGACAGGGAATAGAACATTCCAGAACTGGAGCTGCTCCCCAGGGATGCAGCAGCATCAGAGCGGCACCCTGGACCCCCTCCTGTCCCCCAGCAGCCCCAGGGGACCCTGAAAGGCTCCGCACCCCCAAACAGCCAGGCCAGGCTGGGAGCTGGCACTGCATCCATGGGTGCCATCCCG